GCCTAAAGAGAAACAAAAACGATCTTACTCCTAAATGGCAGAGAATTTAGCAATGAGACGGCAGGGGCTTGATCTATACATTAAAACTCCCTCATTCAGCTGAAGTTGTTTTGGTGCCTATAGTAGCTCTTTAAAGTATGTTGTGAAATGGCTGGTCAAAATAATATTGTAGTTTAATTTCATGGAGCAAATCCAGCATACATGGTCTCTTAGAGATGAGGGTTTATTTGGGAACCAAATTATTATGTCCCTTTTTGTATGCATCCAGTAATTCTTTCTTCCCTGACCTGCCACCCCATGTTTGATCTCAGATACCACACTTCTGGCAATATCAGAGAAACATCTCCAGTAGGTGCATCGTGAATGCATCCATCGTTTTGAACTCAGGAGAGGTGACCTGAATGGGGCTGGCCAGGGTGGCTGCTGTTTAGCTTGGCTCACTTGTACAACAGGTTTCCCACTGGAACGACCTGCATTGGCTCTGTTTACTGATCACTAAACAGCTAAAACAGAGGTACAATTATGCAAATGTTAGCAATGTTGAAACTGTGTTTAGGAAATAGAAGAAGATGGCCTCTGAAGTGGCCTTAATCAGCCAGAAAGGCGACCGATAAAATGTATCTGCATCGACTCTGGAAAAATTATATTGGTCGATCCCTACTATAATCACGCCTCATTCCCACACATTTGGTATTAAGTGTAAGTAGGGTTGTAGTTAGTTATGTTGTGTGTCATTTGCCGCTCTTAGCCTTTCACTGTTGTCCAAACATAGACTTTTTTTTTGGCTAATGCAAAACAATGCACCGTTTACATTAGCTATAACAAAAGTGATGTGCCAGGCCACAGGTTCCCCAGGGATTCCTTTTTTTAAATTGTATAACACATCGAGTCAATGGCGTAGCCTATTAGTCTCATAAACACTATTGGTGCATAGACTGCCCCTTGAAAATGTTTTAGATCACCGTGGATATCACAGTAAAATCAGCGGTTGCAATTTCATGTAATTATTATGCTATTCTATTTAGAACTCTCTTTTTACTCTCTTAGGAAAAATCTACTGATAGGGATTTTATCTCTTTTGATGTTTTCTGGTTAGACAGAAATTTTGTTGGTTATGGCAAACTACCGAACGTTTGGCAGATATTTTAATACCACATTATATTCAATATTTAATTGGTTTCCTGCACTAAACAGTGAGGTAAGAACTGAATTGCAAAATTTATACTAAAAAAAAGACAAGCAGGAATGTAAAATTTTCACTTAAAATAGTGAAATTGCTTTTATAAAATACACTAAAACTCTACCCTACATCAATACAGATGAACGCCCCTTCTCCTGATACTATATGTAGTTTGTTTTTACTAAGGGGTGTGGATTTAAAATAAAAATAAAAAAAATCAAGGAGACATGTTATGTTTACTAACGCAAATATTACTTGATTCTGTGATTTATTACATATATATTGTATCTACAGCGTGCCATTTCTACCACAAGGAACCTGACAGGCATTCAGTGTATTCACAGACAGCACAACTTGCTAAAAAGTTTGTGGAACTTATAAAGGTCAGGAAAAATTAAGCTGACTCATTTTTATTTTTTTTTAACAGACAAAAACTGTGATGGATAAATTTGTGATTCCAACAGTTGGCACTATTCTTAATGATTCTAAACCAGCATTCCTTGATGCGTAAAACTTTTCTGAGGCCTAGTACAAGAATGGTCAATGACGGCACTGCATTCTGGAATATTTAAAGGTATATTAAATAGATACTATAAGCATTCAGTGTCACTCCTCATACCTGCCATTAAGGAGTTAAATCACTTTTGTTTCTGTTTATTTAGCCCTACCCACACCTCCCCTGGTCGTGATTCACACACACAGCACACGGTGTTTGGGTTTAAACGGTCTTATTTCCTACTGTGTTACAGTGACATTGTGGCACCATAACAACTTCATCTGGATTAAGTTGTTATGGTGCAAGGAGGGCCTAGGTAATGGCTTACCTAAAGGGGTTAAACCTTTAACAAATTGTTTAACCCCAAAGTCTTCAAGCCAGCGCAAATCAGTCTACCCCTGAAGTTGAATCAGGAAGCATCAGGCCGGATCCCTCTGATTGGCCAAGAGCGTCAGCTAATGCTGTTATGGTCCTTTAATTAAAGACAGGAGGTTGCTGCAAGCAAGTAAAGTGACACTGTCATGCCGTACTTACCTTCCCCCCCTCCCCCCCTATTGCTTTCTCATTGTAAATCTATTTCTATCTAAAAACATAAGACAAAGCAGGGACTATTCTGTTGAATATATTTTATAACGCCTGACACTTCTTGGCAGTGGGTGGTGGAACCGCCATCAAGAAGTAATGGCTGCAGGGAATTGGCTCTAGCCAGCGCGATCTTCCATAGAACTCAAAGCTGTAAAATAGAAACCGCCAGAAGAGGATGGCGGCGCCCACAAAGAACACGTTCTGGTAAGTAGAACTCACCTTTGAATGCCTCTACCCCCAACCACTGGATCCTCCGGCGTCGATGTAACCATTGGGGGTCTTTGCAAATTATGCAAAGTCCCAGACGCTGACAGTGCTACTTTAACAGATCAGGAGATAACAAATGCTAAAGTAAAAATTCTGTGCAATAAAGGAAGTTTAAACATTTAAATTTTTCTCTCAGGAAATATGTAGAGATGATGTATAAGTCAAAGTGAAGGGAAGGCATGGCCGGGGGTGCATAAACAAAATGATTTAACTATGAAATGTCAGAGACATTAGCAGTGAAACTGCAGGGGCATGATCTGAACCAAAACCACTCATTAAAGGGACACTCAACTGCCCAAATACAAAAATGCCACTGTGCTGTAGAACAGGAAAACATGCATTTCATTATGTATTTTCAATTGTTGGTATATTTAAAAACGGTTTGCAAAACCTGCCGTTCTCATCATCAGCCATTGTAAGCCCTTCCCTTCTAACTCTGCTGAGAATGTCTGTGGCTGCCCAATCATAGACTTCCCAATACAGGTGCTATGGACAGTTCCTGCCTCTTGAGTTTAGTTCCATTGAACTCAACAACCAGGAAGTAACAGGACACGTTGTCTGACATCCAGAGGGGTTCAACAAGGTTAATTTATAAAAGTGCTAATTTCTATTGAAATCTTCACCTTTTGTAAAATGAAAGAAGAAAAAGGAGGGGGGGGGAAAGTGTTTTGGGGGTCTGGAGCCAAAGTTGTTTTGGTGCTTCGAGTGTCTCTTTAATTAGTGTCCACATCCATTCAAAGGACGTTAGAAAACAGTAGTAGTGCCTTGCAAGCTGCAGCTGCCAATTTTCATACGGTTTGGCAATGTACCAGTTTGCTCTTATAAGAAACTCTAACAAGCTAATTCTTTGCTGGAGGAAGTGATAAGATCCTTTTTAACAAGACTTGGGCACGTGGTAGGTTAATTTTATTTTACAGATAATTAACTGCTTTCAAGGCTCTTTTTTTGAACATTACTTTCACTTGTGAGGTTTTCACAAAGATATACATTTTCATTAAAAAAATAAATAAAATTTACTGAATTTTAATTCCTTTGAAATTCCATCACTGTCAGGATATATATATATATAAAGTTGCAGCTATAGGACATTATTTTTGGTAGATATAGTGGTGTTAACAGTTCTGACCATTACCAAATACCTCAATATTTCCCCATCAGCCTGTGCAGAATAATCTATCAAAGAAACCCTAGACCAGGGGTAGACAAACCTTCGCTAATCCAGATGTTGATGACTACAGCTCTGTAACAGACCGTTTTGCACACAAGAGGTTAAAAACCGTTTAGGCGATATTCCCCTTTCCAGATGCACCGACAGCTACTGTAAGCACCAATCTCCCGAACTGCAAACTACACGAATACTGGAAACAACCGAACAGGAAAAGCATACAATCAGCTTACACTCCTGGCAATCAGCATACAATCCAATTCCCCCAATAACGAGACGACACTTCGTTTTGAGGTCAAGCAGAACTGGTTTACTGGGGCTAACTGCCCAGCTTTTATGCAGGTCTCCCACCTGGTGGACACTCCGCTAGGGGACCAGATGGGAAACTGGGAAACATATTGGACATTAACCAATCACAAGCTTACAATCCCACAATGCATCACAATCCCTCCTCTCTGTCCTGGACAGAGGCAAAACTCCATTAACCACATGGTTACAATAAAACACTAAAATACATAATGTTACATTTGTCACATAAAATATATACATTCTACATATCCCCAGATAGCTTAGATCTGAGCGCACATTACTACCGAATGGCGCTCAGATCACATACATACAGTTCAATCGCCATGGAGCCAAAGTCTTTCCCATAGTCTTTAGTTACACGAATAGGCTCCATGGCATGGCTATCTGGGGTGATGCTGTTCATACGGTCAAACTACCGAATGAACAGTGATTCGGTTCCACTACCGAATGCAGAGGTAAGGAGGCTGGCGGCTCAGCAGTGTTCGCGCAAGTAAGTGTCCGTTTTCAGTTCCATAGTTTGGGCGCTGAACACCGCTGGCCGTTCAGGAGTTAAAATGGCCGCTTCCACGTGTTCGGCAAACAAACAAAGGCCAACCAGCGTTCATCAATTAAGCTGCCGTTAAACGCAGCTTCTGGGCGGTCAATTGACGGCACACTCCAGTTCCCAGATGGTCCATCGTTCCTTACTTTGTTCGGTAGATTGAATCTACCGAACATCCCGGCAGAAAGGCACGAATAAACCTCTCAGCAGGGAAGATAACCGGTTTTAAATGCAGGGCCATAGTCTAAAGGGAGCAGGCGAGCAACCAGGCTTCTCCAGTGCACAGTGGCGAGGTTGGTTCTGCCACAAGCTCCCACAATGCATTTCCAGCATTTTAGCGGTAAGAGCATAAAAGGACATGTAGTCCATAACATCTAGATTGCCAACGGTTGCCTAGGCCTGCCCTAGACCAACAAGACACAGGCCCGCGTATTGGATTCTACTGGATGTGAGAATACAGGATTGATGTAAATCAGGGGTGCCCAAAAGGCAGATCCCAGATGTTTTACAAATACAGCTTCCATGATGCTTTGTCATTCTGAAAGGCATGCAAAGCATCATGGGAGTTGTGGCTCTACAAAATCTGGGGATTAACATTTTGGGCACCCCTGATGTAAATGAACTGCAGAGGCATAGATCCAGGTAATGGAGCCACCAAAATGGAGTGCATCAGGTAAGGATATCTTAAAGGGATACTATAGTCACCAGAACAACTACAGCTTATTGAATTTGTTCTGGTGAGTAGAATCATTACCTTCAGGCTTTTTGCTGTAAACACTGTCTTTTCAGAGAAAATGCAGTGTTTACATTACAGCCTAGTGATAACTTCACTGGCCACTCCTTAGATAGCTGTTAGAGATCCTTCCTGGGTCATGGCTGCCTAAAATGCATCCAAACATTCAGTATCTCCTCCCTCTGCATGCAGACACTGAACTTTCCTCATAGAGATTCATTGATTCAATTCATCTCTATGAGGAGATGCTGATTGGCCAGGGCTGTGGTTGAATCATGCTGGCTCTGCCCCTGATCTTCCTCCTTGTCAGTCTCAGCCAATCCTATGTGGAAGCACTGTGATTGGATCAGGCCACCACTTCTGATGATGGCAGCAGACTGTTTGTTTTTCTGAGTACAACAGCATGCAGAGTTACAGCTTCTGGCTTCAATACAATACAAGATTTTTTACTATATTTATGGAGGCATGAGGGGCCCAGGGGGACTAGATGGTGGTTTTAACACTATAGGGTCAGGAATACATGTTTGTTTTCCTGACCCTATAGTGATTCTTAAAAAAAAAAACCAAAAAAACACACACACCACCTTCACATATTCACCAAGACTTTACTAAGCTCTTCCATTGTATTAGAGAACATACATACATAAGGTGGAGCTTCTTGCATAGGCGTTCAGTATATATCTGCAATCATATGAATACAAAACAATAGTGCAACATTGTTATAACAAAAATAATTTACAATCTTCCATTGTATTAACCAGGGAAAGGCAACCTTTGGCACTCAGATTATTTGGACTACATCTCCCTTAATGCTCTTACACCCATAATGATAGCAAAGCATTATGGGAGGTGTAGTCCAAAACATCTGGAGTGCCGAAGGTTGCCTATTCCTGTATTAGGCTAACCTAAAACATCTATTTAAAAAACTGAGGACCCAGAGAATTATTTTAAAGTCCCAGGTACTGTTCAGTAAACAAACAAATTGAAAGAATTAGGAAAAATTCCAAGTCGGCTCTAATCAGTTTGGCTATTTTGGCCTACATTTTGGAATTCAGTTTTCACTTTACTATAATTCAAGGTTTAGTGCATAAAACCTCTATTAGTCATCTCTTTTTTTTTAGCCACATTGCTTAGTGAGTAAATATATGGCTGTGTCAGTAAAAACAAAACGAATAGCCATTTGTGCATATAATGCAAACACAGCGAGCATTTTCTTCACACGTAAAATGATTGCAATATTTAACAAGTACAGTACCCGTGCACCATTTTTGTGAGGTGGGGGTAGGAAGTCACAAAACCCACACACGATTCTGTTTTGGTACAATATTTACAACTGAAACGTTTAGTGCCTAAATTACTTCTAATCCGACCTGGGAAATAAAAAGGTCAATTTAAACAGAAACCTTGTAAAATCAGTAAAATGAAAACATTGTTGCAAAATAGAAGCCAATATAAGAGTTGGGATAAAGAAAATAAAAATACACAAACACACACGCAGTCTTCCTGATGCTTCTATTTTGGCCCAATCTTGTCATTTGTTTGACAGTCATCTGCAGTTCATAATTTAAAGCAGTTCCCAGCCCAGTCCTTAAGGCGACTAAAGGCTGGACTGTTATGTGCTATGAGGACTGAGCTGGGAACATTGATTAAAGTGTATCAACAGCCCATGACAGTGGTCTAGGGCAGACGTGCAAAAAAGGCAGAGTTGTAAAACTACAACTCCCATGATGCTTTGCAGGCCTTAAGAATGCTTACAGGATGACAAAGCATCATGGAAGTTGTAGTTTTCAAACATCTGGGGATATACCTTTTGGGCACCCCTGGTTTAGGGGGTGTTACAGAAAGGACACACTTGGGCTTAGGGAAGAAATAAAAGTAAAAAATATAAATACATTTTTGTATGTAGTGCCCTACGTTTCTCCATTTCATTTGAGTTTGCCACCAATTGATAAACAGTACTACGGAATATTTGTTAAAGAATCAAGCTTGTGATTGGCTCACGGCTCACTTAGCTCAAGTTAATCACAGAATTACTTTTCAGAACTGCAGACTGAAGAAGGCACGAACATCAATATCACCAGCTATTATTGGACTACAATTCCCATCAGCCATTACCTGTCACCAATGAGTCTTGGATAGAAAGGGGTCAGGACACTTTTAGTTCAGATTTTGTGTAGCTTTGCTTTAGAAGCCTATTCATTTGTTAACAGCTGAAGCCAGCTGCACAGTTGACACGGGCTCAGGAACTCTGCACCCCCATGTTAAAGGCCTACAATTCCCATAAATCTTTTCATACAATAGATGACCAGAGAATCATGGGAGTTGTAGTGCAACAACACCTGGGAGGCCAAGGTTTTAGATCAGGGGTTGGAAACCTTCGGCCCTCTAGATGTTGTGGACTACATCTCCCTTGATGCTTTGCTAGCATTATGGCCTTGAGAGCATTATGGGAGATGTAGTCCAAAACATCTGGAGGACCAAAGGTTCCCAAATCCCTGTTTTAGACCAATGGAATCCAATATTTCCCCTCTGGTTGATTTTTTTAACTATAATTCACAGAATTCTCTACCAGCTGTTCTGGGAATATTTAAACCAGCATCCAAAGTACACCCAATACAGACCTGGATTAACATTAACAAGATGTTCCTGTTAGCCAGATGGATGTATTACCACCCAGATGTCCTCACCAATGCCTCTGTACGGTCTTTGTATTAACTGTATACCCATTGGTTATAAGAGGTTAGAGATTGAGTTCTGGTTTATATTTTGTTTTTTATAGAAAAGACTATATAAAAATATTTTGTTTAAATTTAGAGCGATAGATATATATATATATATATATATATATATCAAAAAGTAGCATTCTGCAATTTTCAGCTGCTATATACTGGATCCTAATTTTTTTTTTACTGAACGATATTTTTTTTTACAATTCCATATTTAGCGATATTTAAACACAGTTTCTTTAATTTTAATGACTTTTAAAGACAATCCTTAAAAATGTTAGAGAACAGCTGCATCATTCCTTCTATCTGCATTTCTATTGCCAGTAAGACCTACACTAGTGATTTTACGAGCCCTGAATTCAAAGATATTTGAATACAGGCTATTACAGCTGTTTGAAAACTACAACGCCCATGAAGAATTGGTTGACAATTGTGATTTTGTTCTGTCAAAGGTTGGTGGGAGTTTAAGTTCCGAACAGCTGGATAAACAGTATTTGAATGCCACAGCATAGCCTTAAATTCTGGAACCCTTTACTGCCCAAAGGGACACATTCCACAACTACAAATGTACACACTGGAAGTATACATTACATTTTTACAATTAAAGAAAGATCATTGCTAAGCAAGATAGTTATGACTATTTAAATGTAAAAAAAAATTTTTTTTAAAAACTAAAAGCACAAAAATGTTCCACACTTTTCCCATTTGTAAACATTTATTAAAAAAATCCAGACTGCAAAAAATATATATACAGAATAATTAAACCAGTTAGAATCAGAAGCAAGAGAAAGTCTGCAAATATTTAAGAACATGGAGAAGTTTCATCAAAATAAATACAAAAACCACAAAATTGGGTCTCAGGATCACAAGGTTTGGAGAAAGTCACATCTTTTTGTGATCTGCATAGTCTTTAACAGAACAGATTTCGCCCGGTTTGCAGTTTGTCTTTGTCCATTAGCATCAAGTCCAGCAAACCTTTTGGAGCTTAAAAAAAGGTCATCTTTAAAATATGGTTCGCATAGATCAGATGTGCTGGAGTCTTCCCAATTCTAACTTGGAATAATGTTTTGTGACATACTAGGTACTCCAAGAATATGTTAAATGAAAAGGAAAAAAAAAAAAAAAAGTTGAAACATTTAATCGGGAGATCAAAAAGATATGTGCAATAGCACAAAGGTCAATGTCCACTTGGGTCTGCCACTACTAACTCCTTCTCCTTTTTAAGTCGCTGGTTCTCCTCTTTTAGCTTCTCTAACTCCATCTCTAGCTCACGGATCCTGGAGTCCTCTATCCCACCAACCGAGGGTAAAACCTGGAGCCTTAAGCGGTTGTTCTCTTCTTCCATGCGACTGAGGCACTTTTCCAGCTCCATGTATTCTCGGATTAACTCCTGCTTGCTCATGTCTTGCAAGCTCTCTGCATGGTACCGCTCATAGGTCTCCGAGAAGTCCTTCTGTAGAAACTCAGTCCCATCATTACTGTCCATTCCGTCACTGCCTGTTCCATCCTCATCCTCTTCCAGGTCTTCCTCTGTGCTATCGCCTTTGGTGGAAGAGTTGGCGTTTAGAGGTGGAAGATTGAGAGCAAATCTCTTTTGCGGAGGGCACAAGTCGGGTTCCTCTTGGTCATGCAGGTCCATTAAAAACTGTGTGGTGTTGTAAGGTGCCACGGGCTGCCCTTTGGCAAACATTTCCGCTCTCATTCTGGACGCCCTTTGAGACTCTCGCTCCTCCAAGAGCTTCTTCTCCTCCCAGGTCATCTTATTGTACGGCTTCCATTTCCTCTTCTTTTTGGACGGCCGCCTCCTGTGCCTCTTTTTCCCCACCTGTTTCCAGTCGTCTTCCTGTTTGCCTCTGGCCAGCTGCCCTGGCTTCTGAGAGCCACCCTCTTTGTCGTAGTCCTCTTCTGGACAAGCAAGAGTGGCAGCATCTCTATCCAGGCACTCCTCCTTTTCCTCCTCCTCCTCCTCTGCTCTTTGCTGCCACCCATCATCACTGCTATCCTTACAGGGCAGCATGGAGCCCTCACCTGTCAAAGTTTTGCAAGGCAGGGTGGGCTCCTGAACTCCAACTTCAGCCATGGCAACCCCAAATCCAACAGGGAGAGTAGGTAGAAAGTCTATCTGGTCACTTTCAGAGCTGTTCAGCTCTTGTTGCCCCCCAGTTGAATTAATTTTGGGGTCTTCAATAATCAGCACTCCAGATTCCTAAATCAGACTTGTCTGTGCATGTAGAGTCTCTTGGTACAATTGGCATCACTCCTGCTGTCCCAGCTCAGAGGCTGCTGCTGCTCAGGAATGCAGCTGTTGCCAAGCACTGCCACCAGCTGGCTGCTGTTGGACTACACAGGGTAAGGAGAGAGAATGAGGGAGGAGGAAGAAGAAGGGAAAAAAAAAAACAAGCAACCGTCCTCCTGACACAACACAAGCGTCTGCTCCACCAGCCAGCCTCCAACTACTGCTCCCAAGCTGTGGGACGCTGCCTTTTATAGGCGATCCTGACGCATAAACGATGCGCATGCGCGTTCCTAGCCCACTGCGGCATTTCGGGATATGTAGTCCAGGGCGCAGCGTGATGACGCCACGTCACAAACGCTCCCATGTCCCCGCCCCTCAACCGATTGATAGCTACTGCCTATTGCCCAATCAACATCAACCGTAGGCATCCCGCCTTTTATAAGTGACTATTGGCTGAGGCGTGCACTGGCTGTTGCTAAGATCTCGCTAGAATCTGATTGGTTGAGGTTCTAGTAATTGAAGGCCAGCTGACCAATCAGGCAACGGCAATGGAACCCATGGGTAAGACCATTTTCGAAACCCAATGGGGGGGTGACCATGTTATAATTATATATTATTTTTTTTTAAATCTCTTTTTTTGCCAAGTGATGATTACAACCAAGGAAATTCAATGATTGAAATTGATAAAGAAAAAAACACCGCGTGGAAATAATTAATTACACTATATTATATCAAAGATCACAATCATGGTATGGCCTAAAGATATAGTTCCTACATTTAAAGGGTATAAGTCACACACTTACTGCTTTCTTGACATTTGATAAACAGTACTGAAATACAATGTGAGGAGACAGAGCTCACAGAGCGGGTTCTGAGGGGGCCACAACCCGTTTCCAATATATGTTGTGTGCGGATGGATTCTGATTCCTGAATTTATATCAGTGTATCATATCCTTGCGCCACTTCATGTAAACAGAGTCGATATCAAGATCCGTCTTAAAGGGGAAGTAGCAGTGAGGTGTGATTTAAACCCGGAAGTGTGTGTTTCAAGGCCTGCACATGGCCACTTTGTCCCATAGTCATTTAGTTTCTGTGTTGGTGATACACAGCAGTTTCCTGCCTGATGACATTTGTCTCTGCAGGCATGAAACACCAATTTATTGCGCTCCAAATATTTATTAATCTCTGTGTGTCATTTCTAAACCAATCTCATTTATGATAAGTCATGTCTGAGGTTGCATTTTACCCCCAATGTTTGTTGTTTTTTCTATAGGAACTATATCTTTAGGCCATACCATGATTGTGATCTTTGAAATAATATCGTGTAATTAATTATTTCCAGGCCCGCAGACGGGTTGGTGTTTTTTCTTTTTTTTTTCTTTATCAATTTCAATCATTGAATTTCCTTGGTTGTAATCATCACTTGGCAAAAAAGAGATTTTAAAAATTGTTTGGGCTTCTGGCCAAGATCAAACCATTGGTTTCACACTGCTGACACATGAATGCAACACAGTGCCAGGCAGCGCCTTCAAGCCTTACTTCAAAACAATTGATTAGCATCTTGCATAGGTGTGGTGATCTGGCAACCTAAATGCCTATTATGGGGTTAACCAGTACAACTGGGGCCTTTTTGTTTTGTTTTTTTACCACCCATTAATTCTGTAGAGTCAGAGTTATAGCACAATTTAAAGAAATACTTTAAGCACCATAACCCTTATAGTGTGCTGAAGTGGTTATGGAGCCAGGAGTGCTCTCCAAACCGTTTTTCGAATGGTTAAATTTCTCATTTCAGATCTGCTGGGGTGCCGCTCCCATCCAGTGTTAATTTTGTCGACCAACAATTTAAGTCCGATTTTACTCGGCTAACATTTTTGAGATTTACTCGGCTAAAACAATTCAGATGACTAAAATACGACTAAAACGAAAATCGCTTTTTAGTAAAAAAGACTGAGTAAAACTAAATAGAAATTTGCTGCCAACATTAACACTACTTCCCTCCTCCATTAACATTTTATTGGCTGGGAGCCAAAAGGTCCTTAGTAGGAACTTCCATTATCTCATTGGGAACTAGTTAGGAACTTGCAGTTCTTAAGACGTCGGTCAGGTATCCTGATGGTTTCTGGAGTCATTCTAGTACACAGTGTAGTGCTGTTCTCCTTTCCACCTTCAATATTGAAACATGGCAACCCTAATTAGCTTTTTTTTTAAAAAAAAAAGCTACTTTGCGTTAGTGCTGTGTCAATATTGACGTGAGGAAAATTGACAACCTAAAATGCAGCTTTGCATCAATGCTGCGTCAAAATAGTCATGGACTGTTATGTTCACTACAGATTTATAGCCAATTATGATGGCTTCACAGGCCTATGACATTTTGGCGTTCCACTGATGATGTCAGACGCTAAGGCTATGAAACCTCGGTCCACTAGAAGAACTGTGTCATGTCGTCTATAGCAGCCTAAGAGTGTGTTTATACCGCATTTGCTTGTTATGGAATTTTGACCTCAACTTGTTTATTAACTATTCTGATTTCTATACTCCTAGACCTTTGGCTTGTCTCACCATCCTGTTGTCTCACTTTGACCCCGACCTGTCCTCTTACCATTCTTGCTTTTGTTCGGCCACCTCTAAGGCTTTTGTTCGGCCACCTCTAAGGACTGATCATACATTCTATTTTACTAGCCTTCCTAGTGTGTTGGGACCCAACCCCATCACAACAATGCCAAGCTTTTTGAATATGGTTTGGACTGCTGATAATAAAGCTACCAGAACACCCTCGGTCAGTAGTGTGACCACGGTATGCTGTAGTGGTTATGGTGTTTGGGGTGTTGCTTTAAGAAAACATACATGATTTGGAGAAATTGACTAACACAACCATAGTCACAACATGGCTAGATTAGCCTCCATTTTGCAATTTGGACTTATAATCATTGTTTTAGTGAGTAACCCTGTGTGCATTATATACATGTTCGCACAATTTAATATTGCCTTTTATACCAAACAATTTAATCATATGTTAAAAGTGCACATACCCTGTATCTTTAACCAGAGGTTTCTAACCAAGTCGTTGCATTTTAACTTAAGATCCAAATAATTAATCTTATATATATACATATATATTTGACAACTGGAAGCATTGTTATAGTAGAACCAAAATTAGTCAGTTTGAATGGAAAAATTACAATAATGTATATTCATTTTTTAATTTATCTGATATTTACTTCCAACATTCTAATGAAAATGCACAGCACTGTAAACCTGTATTACGGAGTATAATTTGAAGAATTCATACAATTCGGCTTTTTTGTTCCTAAAATATAAAAATTCATTTTAAATTCCAGATAATTCACATTTGAGTGAATGATTTGTAAATTATTTTCGTTGTGTGTAGATCCTTTAATTATGTTTCCTATGTAAATCATAGATCTCCTGCATATTTTCGACAGACTTATAAGGATTGCCTATTCAAAATGTGACCCAATATTTCTTTTAAGGTATTTGTCACAGGAGTCGTACCCCAACACATAGGAAAGAGGAAACCCACAAAGATGGATCTCGAAAGACGTATTACCGAGCCTTAGAATGGCCGGACTTAACGTATTAATATAGCTAGAAACGAAGTCAGGAATAAATCAAGGTCAGGAACACAGAAATACACAGAGTATATACAAAGCTGGGTCAGGATACCAGAAAATCACGAGTCAAGTATGAAGCCAGGTCAGGATACCAGAAATCACAAGTCAAATACGAAGTCGAAGCCAGGATACCAGAAATCACAAGTCAAATACGAAGCCGAGGTCAAACACAGGAAATCACAAGAGAATTTGTAGGAGCACTAAACAATGATTTAACAAGAAACCACAATAGGCTTACCTGTGTACTGATTGTTCAACATCATTATTACAACTCAAAATAGATTAGGATCGCAATGATGACATGGTCAATTTATGAACAGGCGTGATGTCACGCCTACAATTTATATATAGATATTATGCCACTGAGGAGGGCTGCGCGGCTCGAGGGAGGTGAGTACTTGCTACCTTATGCCGCGTGGCAGGAGAAGGACTGTATAGCTTGAGGGAGGTGAGTACACGCTACAGTATTATAATATATAGTATTAAATAACAAAGTTACAAACCTTTAAAGTGTCTCTATTCAACTTTCACTGGGGCGGTGGAGTCTGGTCCATAGGGGCAGGTAATAACCCCAGTTTTTTATTGTAAAAAAAAAAAATATATTAAATTTTATTGGCATTGTAAGGATTATTGATAAGTGTGCATTAAAAAGAAAACAACACGTCAGCCAGGATTATATGTACAGCTTCCATCCTCCATGCAGCTGGCTTTAATCAGGCTATGACATCTCATGGTCTTAAGTGCCTAAGCCCGAGGTAGGGGGGGCGGCATCTTTAAATTTCACCAGCTGCCACTGCAGTGGTGTCTGTGTACATCTGCAGGAAGACCCCTCCCACACATTGGTGAGACACTCCAATCAGGTTTATGGAGAATTATCTTATCCCATAATCCTCTGTCCATCGGGATATCATGTGATAAGTAGTTTATGCCTAAACAGCAGTTCAAATCATTACAGCTTTTCATTAATTATTATTATTTTATTATTTATATAGCGCCATCAGATTCCGTAGCGCTGTACAATGGGATCACCCATTGTATGTTCTGCACCGTGTGACTGACAAACAGGGTGGGAGGCATTTTTACATATCATTGCTCCTACAACCCAGTCTCAGTAATTATGCAACGTGCATTTGGTGGTTAGATTGCACCCAAAAAAGGAAGCAAGCTAATTGTTACACCAAACCCTCCCAAGGTAAAAAAAAAAAAAAAAAAGCTGAGCTGTAAATGGGTCAAATTTCATTATTTTGGCTTCAACATACATTTTTCTTATCATTTCTCCTCAATTTCCGATTTAGTGAATAAACTCCATAATGTCACCTAAAATGTCCCTGAATAAAACTGCCTACCAGCCCATAACCCCTAAAGCAGGGGTAGGAAACCTTCAGCATTCCAGATGTTGTGGACTACATCCCCCATTGTGCTCTGACAGCCATAATGCTGGCAAAGCATCAAGGGAGATGTAGTCCACAACATCTGGAGTGCTCTAAACGGTCCAAGTTTGATGACTTGAAATGTTGTGGCCTATGGCCTCCCCTAATCAGTGCAGCAGCAAAATGTTTACTAAATAAATCTTTAACAGCCACTCCCTCCTCTTTCCATGCAACACCTTCTTCATATGCACAATATAGGTTGTGGGTTTTTCTTTCTTACATTTTTCTCTACTGGACCGCTCACAAAAGGATGCTAGTTGGAGGTAACACTGATAAAAGATAACATGAATGGTACTACTAATAAAACCACTGAGATACGCTCACATGGAGCACTGCACATATCAGATATAAAGAGCAAACATGTCTCATCTCCCACTGGCATCGTTCACTTCTGTAGAGTCCTCAACATACGTCAAAGAATTGGAAAACACCTTTCAAATCTTGAAAAATACCCCATCGTCATCATGTTGTGAAGTGCCAAACATACGTGTCAGAATGAAAGTGAGAGTTTACCACGTTTTAATTTATCAAACTGGCCAGACAATGGAAGTTAAAGGACCACCTAATGGAAGTTAAAGGACCACCCTCAGGGTCCCCCTCCCGCAAGGCTGAATGGAGAGAAAGGGGTTAAACTTACCTCTTTCTCCAGCGCCGGGCGGGGAGCTCTCCTCCTCCTCTCCGCCTCCTGAATGCGCATGTGCGGCAAGAGCCATGCGTGCATTCAGCCAGTCTCATAGGAAAGCATTTACAATACTTTCCTATGGACGCTGGCGTCTTCTCACTGCGAAAATCACAGTGAGAAGCACGCAAGCACCTCTAGTGGCTGTCAAGAGACAGCCACTAGAGGCTGGATTAACCCTCTAGTGACTGAAACTGCTATGTTTATAGAAAAAAGGGTTAACCCTAGCTGGACCTGGGACCCAGACCACTTCATTAAGCTGAAGTGGTCTGGGTGCCTATAGTGGTCCTTTAAAATCACCATCTTTTTCAGCATCTACTGGTTGCTCAGAGTTCTAATTTAAAAAGCTGGGATGTTTATAAAGATTCTCTATGATTTATAGCAATATATTTTGACAAATACTTATTGCGGGGTTAAAAATCTAAAGCAGAACACAAGAATGTGTAAACTGTTTCAAGATATTTAATAATTGTGATATTATTCAATTGGAGGTCCTGCCCTTCTCTTTTCCGTACAGTATTATTGAACTCCTAGTGGATACATTCTTTGGAACGATCTTCAGTGTGGGGATATCCCCTCTCCAAAGGAGCTTTGCAAACCCAGAGCCAGGGGTGATAGGGCTCTGGGACATGTGAGTTTTTTCCCTCATATTTCTCTAATTTTCTTTGATGACTATTCAGATTGTCTGCACTATTATTTGCTTTTCTTTATATTTACAGATTAATTTAGCGCGCTTGTTTTGGTAATTATTGTTTCACGATATCCCTGCTTCTATACAGGTTAATGCTGCCTCTAAATCATAGGTTAATAAATGACTGTCCAGGTACTCAAGGTGACACCAAGTTAGCTTGAAAAAGACCCTGCAGGGTCGAAACGTTGCTTATTTCTGCTCCAATAAACAGTGCTTACTTTTGTGTCACCTTCAGTGCCTGGACTGCCATTTATTATCCAGAACTGCAAAGTGAGGTTTGGCCTACCTCAGGCCCGGTTGCACCCCAGGGACCAGGAGAGTGCGGTGCCCTAAATGTATATGGTCTGGTCAGTTTTAAGAATTTCAAAGCATGCAATGATGTACCATGGGGAAAATAACAGTTTTTTTATAATATGCACAAAATAAGAATTTGATAATAACTAATAAACTATTTTGATACAGGATTTATCTCACCATGGAGACACTGAGAGCTTGGCTATGGATTCAATTGTCACTAAATTCATGTTTAAATTAAAAAAGCTGACATGATCTTTAGCTTGTACGCTCATTTGGGCTTCACCTAATGTCCCCGTATTTCATACATGTATTGTTAGAATTAAATGTCTTGTTTACCTATTGTACAGCGCTGTGGAATAAGTTGGTGCTATATAAATAATTGTAATTGTCCTGATGTGGCAAGTGACTGTCTCACACGCTTCAGGCCTCATACAGGCAAAGAAGCATTGAAACGCGGTAAACAAAAATAGGAAATACATAAAAAACATAATAAAATTAGCGTATTTAGTCATAGGTGCCAAATCAAGGAACGACTGAGGGATTTATTGTCAGGCAAGTGTCAGAGCCGTGTACTGTGTAATGATTATCCTGTGATGGTTGACTTTGGATGTCTTGCTGCATGACGAAGCTGGCCAGCAAACCATGGGAGCTTCAATCTCCAGCAGCAAAAAAAAAATCAGATTTCTCTCAGTCCTCAGGTTTCTACAGTATATTTTCCCCTGCTCATGTCTAATTATTGCATTTACTTGTGGCTCCATGAATGTTTGAACATTAAAAATTGATAGTTTGATTGAGGTAGAAGGCAGGTCATCTTTTCCATCGGTACGATCTACGCAACAGCCAGTGCACAATGAACGGCCAGACAAAAATAAAGAACAGAGTCCGAGATTGGATGAAGAGAGAGATCCAAGATTTCTGAAATAAAGGAAATATGCTGAGGTGCAAAGGTATTAATAATATTAAAGGAGTAATACTTTCAACATGTACAAGACACCCACTGTCTACTACAAATCCATAGATAGAAGCGTCACAGGGTTATTTACTCAAAGGGACTCTAGAGTCACCAGAACAATTACAGCTTATTGTATTTGTTCTGGTGTCTATAGCCTGTCACTGCAGGCTTTTTAATGTAAACAATGCCTTTTCAGAGAAAAGGTAGTGTTTAACTTGCTGCCTAGTAACACCTCTAGTGGCAGTCACACAGATGGCCACTAGAGGTGCTTCCTCGGTCAGTGCTGCACAATGTGCAGCACTAACGTTCAGCTGCCCCCTCCCCACAGAGATACATTGATTCAATGTATCTCTATGAGGAGATACTGACTGACTCAGTGCAGTGTTTTTCACGCAATGCTTTCAAATGGGAAAGCATCGGATTAACTGAGATGATGAGCTCAGCCAAGGGGGCGGAGCGTGGACAGAGCTAGCCACAACGAGAGCAGCGCCATGCTGGAAAAAGGTAAATTAACTTTATAACAGGAGGCAAGGAAGCTGGGTACCTGAAATGTGTTTTTCCAACTAAAGTGTTAGGAATACGTTTGTATTCAGCTTTCAGGTCAGCTACTTTGGCCTTAAATTTGAAATTCACTTTGAATTCCCAACCATTCTCAATTTAATAAATAACCCTGTGAGTCTTCTAGATATGGATTTTTGTAGAAATAGAGTATCCCTCAGTTCTTTCCAATCTGCTAAAGCAGTGATAGGTACAAAGCTTTATCACTCTGCTACAACAGTAATATGAACACATCTCTCTCACTCTGCTACAACAGTGATATGTACAAAACTCTTTCACTCTGTTACAACAGTGATATGTACTCACGCTCTGCTACAACAGTGATATGTACACGACTCTCTCACTCTGCTACAACAGTGATATGTACAAATCTCTCTCACTCTGCTACAACAGTATGTACAAATCTCTCTCACTCTGCTACAACAGTAATATGTACAAATCTCTCTCACTCTGCTACAACAGTAATATGTACAAATCTCTCTCACTCTGCTACAACAGTATGTACAAATCTCTCTCACTCTGCTACAACAGTAATATGTACAAATCTCTCTCACTCTGCTACAACAGTAATATGTACAAATCTCTCTCACTCTGCTACAACAGTAATATGTACAAATCTCTCTCACTCTGCTACAACAGTGATATGTACTCACCCTCTGCTACAGGAGTGATATGTACATGACTCTCTCACTCTGCTACAACAGTGACATAGCAAATCTCTCTCACTTTGCTAAAAAAGTGATAAGCACAAATCTCTCTTATTCTGCTACAATATTGCTAAGTATTTTTCCACCGCTCCAGCAGTGACACCTACTAATTTCTTGCACTTTGCTACAACAGTGATTTGTACAAATCTCCTTGATAATGCTACAAAACACAGCAAAATGAATGTGGTGCTGCTTGGGCAATCTGATTTAAACATTGTTGTGAGTCCTTGAATTATTCAGTTCAGTTCCCAATGCATGTATGACTAGAATGCAGATCACTGTGTGCAGAGGTGATTTAATACATTCTCCACAGTGCACACTCCTGGGGACTATGGGGATCTGTCTGCTTCCTATTGTATGTATGCTATATGGAGTTATTGACAAGATAACTCACCATCTCTTTGTCAGGTTGATGTGGAGTTTCCTCCAACAGCTGAGCCTGAAAGAAGAAAAGAGGGCTTTTTCTCATGTAACGGGATAATAGGATAATAAATACATAAATAAACTTTTAAAGTCTATTTATCAAAAGGACACACACAGACACATGTTGTAAAATATCAGCCTCTGTAACACATTTTAACAGATTAATGATGTTGGGTAACCTGCAGCATCTTTTCCAGACTTTCAAGACGCTGACTGATGCCCTGGATGGATGCTTGCAGGGCATCCACTGTGGCAGCAATCTGGGGGCTCAGCTGGTGAGGTGAATGCTCTTTCCTGATCTGTGATCCACTGGGCATGTCTGAATTGAATGTTTCTCCAGAGCTCACAAGCCAGGATTCACTAGTTGACTGAGTCACTAAAATGCAAAATTGAAATATTTTCCATAAAATATATAGTTAGAAGCTTTGAGAGAAATATACATACAATACATGCTCCTTTACAATTCCAGGTACACCCAAACCTCCTTAGATTACATGTCTGATTTGTACCTATCTCTACATCACATTCAGTATCCCTCAGTGTGGTTCGCTTCTGCCTCCTGCTGTGCTCATTTGGGGTTGTGGCGTCTGAGGCTGGTTGAAAAAGGTGAGGTTTGATCTGGGAATCGATATCTTCAAACACCTGCAGAACAATTCCAAAAATGAATGTAACATAGGGAAAGTAATTTCTACAGGAGAATTCAGTGATTCATCAAGCCAAAGGAGACACAAATGGTGGTGGTTTGACTGACTTTGGCATCTCCCTGAAAGTTATGCGTGAGGGTTACTGACAGACTAAATATGATTATTATTAATAAAGCACCAACATATTCTGCAGCGCTGGTTGGACTAAAAAAAGTAGTAGTTTGGCAGTAGATAAGATGGATGTTCAGGAACAGAAAGTGGTAAGAGATCTGCTCAAACAAGCTGAAAGAATCACATCTATTTTTCCCAAGTTCTGTGACTTGTACAATTTCTGCAAAACCACGTCTTGTATCCGGGGAAACTCCTGGTTTGCACCCAATGGTTTGTCATCTGGCTTATAGGTCAAACAATTGTCTAGGCTGGGGGAGCAGCGTGAGCCTCTGTTAGCCCAGTTACTAAACTATAAAAAGAGACTATAAAAATGTGAGTGCGCAAGTTAAGTAACTTGGCATATTAGCCTGTATTTTTAGACTTCATTAGATTTCTTTCCTGCCTTTTCTTCACATTTCATGTTGTGATGGAGGCTCCCTTGCCACAGACTTCTGGAGAGGCTAGAAGGCCAGTTTCCTGCCCATATACTATGGGACTGGTCCCAAGAGCCTCTAAAGGGGCATTGTCACTGTGAGGAGAGGTATGGGGGCCTTGGAAGCTTACTGTGCTTCCCAGCCAGACTTGAGGACCTCTGGGGATTGCTTGGACTCGATTTACATTTTGAGCGCCTGACCAGGTGATTCTCTGGAACTGTTCTTCGAATCAGGACAATGCCGACATCCAGTCAATCTTTAAGTGGGTATAGCTAGGTCCCCCGAACTCCAACTAGAGCGCTATCTGGAAGTGAGGTCAGGGAGACAAGGAGCCATCTGATGATACCTTGGGCTTGAGAGCATTTCCTTCCACAGAGGTCCGTGAACCTCTTTTTGGAGACCAGGACTAAACATCAGCACACATGGAACTCCACCCTGGATTGAACTTGGGCACGGATTCTCCGATCAGGGCACTATTTTGGACAGTGAGGGCAGGAGTACACACTTCACAACTTCATTGTAGACTCTTCTAACAACCTACTTTTCTATTACATCCCACCCTTATCTCTTGTGTCAAAATACCCCACCCCACCTAGAATGTAAGTTTGTTTGAGAAGGGGCCTCAGATGCTTCTATTCCTGTATGTCTAACATGTCCCGTTGCAACTACTTGTTTGTTAGTCCACCTATTGCACAGTACTATGGCACTTTATAAAATAATAATAATTTGGTCTACTAACCTGAACTTACTATTTGTTAAAATTCCTAGCATACATATTTGTTAACTCACAAAGACTATCTGAACAAACTCCTTTAGCATTCAGTAATAAGGGCTGTAAAGATTATATCTTACCCATGTGACCATTTGTGGTATTGCAAGCTACAGATGCAGAGGACATCCTCACAAAAAATGTAAAAGATGTCTAGGTCATTTAACATAGAATAGGACACTCAGAGCAACATAACTAGGGTTACCACCATGATGGGCAGCACATGAAAAGGCTTGCCCTGCAGTAGTAGCATTCAGAAGAAGATGAAAGGGACACTATAGTCACCAAAACAACTTTAGCTTAATAAAGCAGTTTTGGTGTACAGATCATGCCGCTGCAGTCTCACTCTTCAGTTCATTGCCAGTTAGGCGTTAAATCACTTTCTTTATGCAGCCATAGTAACACCTCCATCACACCATAGTTACACAACCTTCCTAAACACTTCCTGTAAAGAGTCATCTAATGTTTATACTTCCTGCCTCCTACAGAAACATGGTTATTTACTAAAGTGAAAACTCAAAAGAGTATTTAAAAATATTAAGGCCAAAATAATCAAGTAAAAATATTCTTTAACTCAGTTGTGATTTAAGCTTGGCTATTTCGGCCAAAAGTTTTAAATTTACTTTGAATTCTCACTTTACTGAATAACCCTGATAGTGTTTTATGAATGTGAAAAGTTGCCATAATCACTATAAGTATAATAAACTCCCATCTTCACAGGAGCTTTCACAGTATTCTATGACAGAAAGCAAACAACTGATTACAACTCTCTTGGGTGAACCATAAAGCTTTGCTGTGAATTATTAAGATAAGCCAAGTATCACTTTGAAAGTTATTTGTGTGTCTTGACTGGCTGAGTCAATTCCTAGCCAGGGCAGAGCTCATTGCTGAAGCTACAAAGCCTGGGTTTTACAGCAAATATGGCAACAGCATGCGTGAGTATCTTTTAATTTTTTTAATTTTATTATTTTATTATGTTTACTTCATTGTTTTTGCATATATTTTTGAATATGTTAAATAAAGTGTAAAATAAAGCTAGAATGGGTTAACGCCAGTCAGGAGTGTTCCTTAAAGGACCACTATAGACTCCCAGACCACTTCAGCTCAATGAAGTGGTCTAGGTGCCAGGTCCATCTAGGATTAACCCTTTCTGCTGTAAACATAGCAGTTTCAGAGAATGCTTTCCTATGGACTGGCTGAATGCGCACACGGCTCGTGCCACGCATGCACATTCAGACGATGACGGGGGAAAGGAGGAGGAGAGTCCCCACCCCCGAGGGAGCCCGGCAGTGGAGAAAAGGTATGTGTTAAACCCCTTCCTCACCCTAGAGCCCGGCGGGACGGGGACCCTAAGGGTGGGGGGGGGGGACCTAGAGACCCTATAGTGCCAGGAAAACGATTATGTTTTCCTGGCACTATAGTGGTCCTTTAAATAGTTTACGCTCTAATTGGCACTCTTTGTAACAGAATTCTAATGATTTCCCTTGAAGCTTTCTTACCTGTACACGTTCTACTTCTTCTATACTGTCACAGAAATCTTCATTACTGGATGCCCAGCTATGCACATCCCTTGCATGTGGTACAAAGTTGGAAGCCTCTCCTGGAAATCAGGAATGAATATTCAGATTAGACAGGAGCAGACGGTAACCCAGAAGCAATTAAACTGGTTTTATTTGTATATGAAATCAGAGTTTACAAGTATAGCAAAGCCAACACCAGGCTTCATCGGTGCCATAACACACCTACTCTGATTCTGGAGCAATGTACATGCTGGAGACATGTTTTATTTTACATAATATATATTTCATGTCTTTGCAAATGATAGGTCAACTTTAACCCCTTAAAACATCTGGTTTGTTAATTCCTGCTGTATATGGTTACTGTGGAATGCTGGATTATATGTATACACAGACCTATAGGGTCACTTCGTATTTCTTCTCCCTGTTGATCTGACTGTGAATGCACCCACACTTGCTCATCTTGAGGTATGGAAGTTTGAAAAGCTGCGGATGGAGAGCAGACGACTTCCTTTAGCCCAAGCTCAGGTTCCTCGTCATCGGGATTTCCAAGCTCTAAATAAGGGAGACATCTTGACTGTTAAAAAGATAGTTTCACCTAATGCATGAACCGCGCATGCAAATTAGATATACTGTGCCTCTAATCATTGTATAATAATATTATACATTCAGTTTGGTAGCAACACTCTAAGAAGGAGTAAGAGTAGATGGAGAGAAAATATTATCTGATAAAAATTAACAAGATTAAAAGAGGCTTTGAAAGCACCAAAAAATAGCAAAGAAACTGTTAAAAAAAAAATGTGTATAAAGAGGGAGGGATAGTGATTATAAACACATATGGCTATTTTTAACCCTTTAAATAGATTTAAGGAAAGGGAGTACCCTAAATATATTATAGAAAATGCAAGAAGAGAAATGGTCTTCAGAGACACCAGTCAAGCTTCGGCAATTGGGTCTGGAGCGCTCCAGAGTCTCTGGTAGCAGAGAGGAAGCTGACCTGGGGGAGGTACTCAGTCAGAGTACAGGAGCTTCGCCACAAGGTTAACACAACATAGCAAGTGTTTATATTTTCTTTTTTTTATCCTTGAAAGTAAATGCTACAGTAATACAAAAATGCTTAGTAATTTGAGGATTTTAAAAACTTTATTTATAATGATACACATTTTAACATATTAGACTAAACGTTAAAAAAATGTGTTTACTCGAGATACGGTATCAGTTTAGGTCAGAGCTGCTGTATTCCAAAATGTTCTTAATGATAAGGCATTGTTTCAAGTGAAATTGTTATGAAACAGGACATCTGGGAGAAGAACCTAATTTTAAATAGGTTTTTCTCCAGAACTATACATTTGATAGCAAAACTGCTAGCACAATGTATAGCTAAAATGCTAGTGAGTGTAAATTGTTAAGGGCATGACAGGTTATTAAAAAAACGCAATAATATGAAGTGCCATCGTGTGGTTTAAAAGGTTACTGCACTGGAGGAAGTGGTTAAATGTTTGCAGTCAAGACTGAGATGAATTGGTAGGTAGGAATAATTTGCAAGCGACTGTAAGGTACGGAATATACTAAAGCCACCATAAATAAGCCAAAAAGACCTTGACTGGACACTTTGAGATGTCTCTTATGTGCTGCTAACCTACCTAAGGTTAAAAGAACACTTCTCCTCTGCTCCAGATACCACTGACCCAACATGCTGCATCAACAGTTGCTTAGCAGACCTCATAGAATGGATGAATGCTAGTTTGCTTAAAGTGAACCTGGACAAAACAGAGTTACTCTTGGTGAGGTGACCCCAGGTAACAAAATTATCCCACGATCACCCAACTGGTCTGGAGCTTGGAGGCTCTGAACTCATTAGTTCATCAAAGGTACGAAACCTCGGAGTGCTGATTGACTCTGGACTATCATTTAAACAGCAGATTTCCTCTGTAATAAAATCTGCCTACTTTCATCTGAAAAACATAGCCAGGATACAACACTTAATTGCACCAGACAGGCCCGGACTGGCCATCGGGCACACCGGGCAAATGCCGGCCCACTTGGACAGACATGTGGCTGAAGGGAGAGGAGGACCCGGCGGAGCTCTATCTTGCAGCTCTGCCGGGTTCCTCTCGCGAGATCCGGAGCGGTGCCATGGCAACGCCCCGATCTCGCGAGAGTGAACTCTAGCCAGGGATGGTGTGAGAGTGCCGGTCCACCCCACTCTCTCTCCCAGGTACCACTGTGCCACCCCCTCACCCCCAGGCTAAAGGTAAGAAGGGAGGGGGGGATATAATGCTTGCTTAGTTTTTGTATTTGTTTTTTTACCCCCCAACACACAATCCCTTCTAACATTCACACACACACATCACACTCAGCACTCTCACACACATCATACACAGCACTCACACACATCATGCACAGCACACTCACACACATTATACACAGCACTCTCACACACATTATACACAGCACTCTCACACACATCACACACAGCACTCTCACACACACCATACTCAGCACTCACACACATCATACACAGCACTCGCACACACATCACACTCAGCACTATCACACACATTATACACAGCACTCTCACACACATCACACACAGCACTCTCACACACATCATACACAGCACTCACACACATCATGCACAGCACTCTCACACACATCACACTCAGCACTCTCACACATATCATACACAGCACTCTCACACACATCACACTCAGCACTATCACACACATCATACACAGCACTCTCACACACATCACGCACAGCACTCTCACACACATTATACACAACACTCTCACACATATCACACTTAGCACTTACACACATCACCCTCACACACTGCACCCCTCACACACACCCACTGCACCCTTCACATACACACAGAACCCCCCAACACACTGCACCACATACATACACAATACTTATATATATATATATACACACACATACTGCACCCCTCACACACATACTGCACCCCTAAACACATTACATTCCAGACACTAGATCCCTTACCCAACTCTGTATCATCTACACACATACACACACTAGATCTCTATATACACTCTGAATCCGTTATATACGCACACTCACTAGATCTCCTATACACATTCTGGGTCCTTCAAACACACACTTGACTCATATATATACACGCACACACTACACTCCTAACATACACAAACTAAATTCCTTGTAAGCAAACACATACTACACCCCTAAACACACACTCTCTACAAACACTACATCACCTACACATACACACACACTATAGCCTGTATGCACACACTTGCTACATCCAGTGGTGTATCCTGGTTTTGTGCTGTCCTAGGCATGACAAAACTCACTGGATGATATGCAAACATTAATCCATGCATTTGTCTCCCAGAAAAAGAACTCCATCGCCTTCAGACTGTACAAAATGCAGCAGCCGGACTACTAACCAATCAAACTCGTTCCTGCCAGATAACACCTGTTCTCCACTCCCTGGCTTACAATTAAGTGGCGAAAACATATTTTAAAATTGGCCTGCTAGCCGTCAAAGCCTTAAACAATCAAGGCCCACAGTACCTGAAAGAGCTCCTGACACCCTACATTCCATCCCATTCACTTCGGTCAGCCAGCAAATCCCTCTTGTCAGTGCCAAGAATAAAGACAGACTCAGGTTCCAGGGCATTCAGCCAAACTGCCCCTACCTTCTGGAACTCTTTACCGTGCCAATCAGAGAGGCACAGACTTTAAAAAAAAAAAAATCTAAAGACCCACCTCTTCCATCAGGCATTCAGTCCACTCATCTGACCTTCAGAAACTCCTAACTTTTATGTCTTTATATTTGTAAAGTGCTTTGAGTCTCACAGGTAGAAAAGCACTATAAAAAAAAATATTATTATTATTATATAAAAGCTGCACTGTGATTCTACGAATACTATGTTGTATAAACGTGTATTTTACTTTTTTGATGACAGTAGTGTATTATTTCTGAAAGTACCACTTTAATTGCCACTTAACTCGTGTTTCAAGAGGGGAATAAAAACCTTTGGGCTGCGTTGGTGATCAGAGATAGGTTTATCAATTGTTGCTACATAGCACCTTCCCCATTAAAGACTATGTGGAAATTCCTTGTTCAAACAGAGATAACCTTATCTGTGGGTATTCAACCTAACCCTTGATTTGATAATGCAAGTTGCCATGCTTAAATATCTTATTTCAAAGGACGTCATGAGTACAAATCAATATAGATACAGTGGCACTGTCAGTTTTGGGGTCTTTCAATGTTTTGAAACACCCCTAATGTGACATGTCTGCTTCTGCCTATCTAAGCAAAAATAGTCCCCTTTTTGTCTTATGATATTTTTTGATTGCACTGGAATTTTTGCTAAATTCCTACACAGACTACATGAGCTTTTCATAAAGTGACGGTACAGCTTGATGATGCATACAGCCACTCAAACCTCACAGACACGCCTAATAGTTACTACTAAAACACCAGCACGTTCTGTATCTTCTACAATATGTTCACAAACAAAGAAGGAAAACATTGCATGCATAAATAAAGGTCTGTGCTTGTGAATCCAACACTATTAAAGGACTATTAAAATCTCCCAGACCATGGATTCTCAATAAACTGGTTTGAGAGCAGTGGTTCTGTATGTTTAACTCTTTAAGGTTTCATTAGAGGTCTGCTGCACTGACAGAGTAAAACCCATGGATTCAGTGCTTTTCTATGAGAAATGGATGCATTCGCGATGCTCATCACAAATGCGAGCATTGGACTGGACCATCACTGGAGGAAGCCATGCCTTCTCAATTTTGTGGAGGAGGCGGAGAGGACAGTAGCACCGAGGTAGTCTAGGTGCTGGAAAAAGGTAAATAGAACTATTTTTTTAAAATTATTTTTATGGAAATTAATGGTGAAAGGATTATTATACTAAAAAAAAGTTTTGAAATGACAGTTGTCCTTTAATAAACAGTTTGAAAAGTGCTGTATATTTGTATTTTGCATAGATTTCTTGCATTTTGCTTACATAGAGAGTGTACCCACCAGGGGTTTCCTTGAAGAATGAATCTGGAGGACGAGGCATATCTGGTATAACTTCATACAAAGGTCGGAAAGGCTCAAACATATCAGGAGACTTGTCATCAAGAGGCACTGTGTCGATAATCTATATGTATATCAAAATGTACAAACTTCAATATACGTTGAATTAAATCAGTTCCAGATCCCACTGACATGAATGAAATAATAAATGCATTGAAATTACAACGTTGCAACCAAATACTTGCACATACAGCTGTTCAGCGTAAGAAGTTCACTGACAGCACGTACGTATACGTAAATTTCAACCAATCGAAACAGTGCATTTTTAAAGGTACAAGCAATAATAGTTGTGTGTTCTTAGCTGTAAAAGTAGAAACGGGCAGTTATTTTATTTATAGTGAAATCTATGCATGCAGAAAGCAAGTCACGGATAACAGATAGGTGAGTTGTTGTAAAATTGATCATTAGAGAAGATAAGCATTCAAGCAATAAATGGGCAATTAGAGGTCAAGGTCATGGTGTTCAACAGACTGAAAAATGGTAACAACAGTCCATACAGGATACAATTCCCAGATTTTACTATTAACATGACGTAAAGTCATGATTTTATTAATTTTCTCTTTCTTGCTGCTGAGAGTATAATAAAGAAAGAGAATGCATAATAGGAGCCTCCATGTCTTTAATAAAATCAGTGTGTTTACACGAGCTTGGTTTGTGTTTTAAGTTAGAAGGTGGAGACAGTAAGGTATATTGTTAAAGGAACACTATAGTCACCTAAATTACTTTAGCTAAATAAAGCAGTTTTAGTGTTTAGATCATTCCCCTGCAATTTCACTGCTCAATTCACTGTCATTTAGGAGTTAAATCACTTTGTTTCTGCTTATGCAGCCCTAGCCACACCTCCCCTAGCTATGATTGACAGAGCCTGCATGAAAAAAAAAACCTGGTTTCACTTTCAAACAGATGTAATTTACCTTAAATAATTGTATCTCAATCTCTAAATTGAAATTTAATCACATACAGGAGGCTCTTGCAGGGTCTAGCAAGCTATTAACATAGCAGGGGATAAGAAAATCTTAATTAAACAGAACTTGCAATAAAGAAAGCCTAAATAGGGCTCTCTTCACAGGAAGTGTTTATGGAAGGCTGTGCAAGTCACATGCAGGGAGGTGTGACTAGGGTTCATAAACAAAGGGATTTAACTCCTAAATGGCAGAGGATTGAGAAGTGAGGCTGCAGGGGCATGTTCTATACACCAAAACTGCTTCATTAAGCTAAAGTTGTTTAAAACCAGGTTTCAGGATTTGAACATTATCCTGTGAATGATTCCTAGCAGGAAAAGAATATGGCAGAGGAGATTTAAATGTTGGTTAATGTAAATAGTGGGATGAGGATGTAAATATAGGTGAAACTTGGAAGCTTGCGGAGAAATGTGAGGAAGTTCTTGTTTATAGAAATGGCTGTCACAATACACAATGACCTTCCAGTGAAGGTGACACGGACAGAAAGAAATGATTTAGAATAAGCAGAACATTTTAGATTTTGGTTTTGGGTTCCTACGGGCTGCCAGGGACATTTGATTGATCAGAAATATATATGTGCACTGTTTTGAGTTTTGTTTTTCTTTGTTTCTTTTCGTAGTTCGTAAACATGTGTCATACCTTTTGTGCCACTGATTTCATCTCTTTGATATAAGCACACATGGCATCATCTTGACTCATGTCTCCAAGCCGGTTCCAGGCATCCCTTAAGACACATAAATTTTATTTTTGACATATATACACCTATATTATCACGTTCTATTCTCAGTATATAACTAATGACAAAATATATGCATTATTAAATTATAAGATCTGCACAATTTTCTGGGACAATGTACAATCTACTGTACTACTTGTTTGTCATCAGTAGGCCTGTAGAGACCTGTTTATCCTAATAGCGAACTCAATATTTGTAAAATATATTTATAAAATATAGTGCAGTACCATATTTAAGGAATTAATTACCACTTATATCGACCAATAGGATCCCAGAATCCAGGCCGCGGAATGCTACAGGGACCTACTGTGGCCTGCTTGTAGTAGCTGTAGAATCGAAGCATCTCTTCATACGATGGACGATATGCACCTAATCATTGGGCAAGAAAAATACATTTTGTGAGGAACAAAATAAATATACATTTGTAAAACATGCTTCCTGTGGCATGGCTGAAATATTGCAATATTAATTTTTTTCCAATATTATCAATTATTATACACTGACAGCAAGTTCCATAGAGCTGAATGCACCGAATAAAATCTATTGCAAAACTTTTTTTTGTATAGTCAGAAAAAAAAAATCAATATATGTTGGGCATGACAGGTGCACTTTAAGCACTATAATAAATACAGTTTATTCCAGTGGTTGTGGGGCAAGTAGTTATTTTGGTGCAGTCCCTCTATTTTCAAATGGTTCAACAAAAAACCTGGGTTCCCTTCTGCTTTATCCGCCAAAAGCTGTTCAACCTTGATCTGCAATGGTGAGCAGCAACTACTGGGGAAACTGGCCTGTGGTCCTCTCCCAGCCAATCATTGCCATCAATGCTGTCAAATAATTGTTTCCAATAAAATTTAAAAAAAAGAAATAATGTTCACAAATACTGGCTGATTATGGTTTTCTTATCACTGAGCTATGTACACCTTTTATAAACAAAAGGTTAAATGTGAGACTCTGACTTCTACAGGAGGATACCATTTGCTGTAAAAAGGTTCTGTATTGGATTTTGACCGAATCACTGTCAGCGATGAGTGCCAGAATCAAAGTACAGAGGCAAAGCAGATTTTAATGGCTAAAGTACAGAATAAGTGTTCATAATCTGGTACTTTTCACTGCCAGGCACATTACACATATACCAACTGACAGAAGTAGCAATAGCTACATAGAACAGTCTTGCAAGTATTGTCAAATGCAAAATACAGGAGGCAAACATACAGAATAATCCTTTTACAATATTTATTTCACCTGCTCCCCTTCCTGTGCCAGGATTCTGACTATGCATTTGCTTTTAATATACTCAGAAAAAGGGAAGAAAATAGAAACTATTTTAGTATCTGTAGGAGTATCTGTCAATCTATGGATTTATACTTTATATACACTGTAACTTGCCATGGATAGACTAAATAAACCCATGGGAAAAAAAAGGTTTCTCACTTGAATGCATGCTGAAGAATTGATTCTATGTCTATGTGTACCTACCATTTTTAGGCAGGCCCTGGATGACAGACACTGCTGCATTAAATTGTCTCTGTGGTTCAGTCTCATCTTGGTCTATCAACATCTTTTTTTGATATATGTCGTCCCGCCGACCCTGTGACGGACAGTTGTATCAGGTCTAGTGCTCCGTTAGCTGTAGAAGATCCAAGTGCAGTTTGTCACTGCAGCTGAAAAGAAATCCGAGATAAAAGATGAACTCTGATCTGTTATTATTTACCTATTCTTTACTGGAATGATTAGAAAAATAGTGACACCAAAACCACATTTAAAAGACACATCTGATGGTTTTAATTGGTGAGTCCTATTGAAACACTCATTTTGAATAAACACTTTTTGTACCTACAAGGGACATGTTACAGGTTCCCCCCCTTTGAATGGAAAGTGTGGGAGGGAGGCAGGACGAGATTGGAGTCAGCGCTCTTGTTTCTTTTTTTACATTACATAGTTTTATAGTTACATAGCCGAAATAAGACATGCGCCCATAAAGTTCGGCCTTTCTCACATATGGTTTTACTCACATCTGGTTTTTTTGGCAAAAAAATCCAGTTTGAAGCACTTTCCAATTTTGCAACAAACTAGGGAAACATTCCTTCTTGACCCCAGAATGGCAGTCAGATATCTCCCTGGATAAAGAAGACATTACCTCACAAATTAAACATGATATCCCTCAATATTATGTTTTGCAAGTATTCATTCAGTTGCTGTTTAAAGATCTGCACCTACTCTGATAAAACCACCTCTTCAGGCAGAGAATTTCACATTCTTATTGTCCTTTGCCTTAGACTAAATCTCCTTTATTCTAGTCTAAATGCATGACTTTATGTCCTATGTATAATCCTGTTTATGAATACATTTCCAGACAATGGTTTTGTGTTGGCCCCAAATATATTTTTATAATGTTATCATATCCCCTGTGAGGCAGTGTTTTTCTAAACTAAACAGATTTAAATGTCGTAACCTTTCTTCATAACTACAATGTTGAAATTCCTTTTATTCATTTTGTAGCCCGTCTCTGCACTTTCCTAGTGCTATAATATTCTTCTTTAGAACAGGTGCCCAATATTGCACAGTATACCTAAGTTGTGATCTTACCCTTGATTTATAATGAGGCAAAATTATATTTTTTGGATTAATGCCCCTTTTTTAAACCTGACAATACCTTACTGGCCCCCTAGCAACTGCTGACTGGCATTGCACATTGTTGCCTAGTTGTTGTCTATAACAAGTTCAAATTCTTCTAGTGTGTCGTTATCCTTAATTGACTAGTTCAGGGTGTAAGTTGTTTGTGCATTCTTTACCCCCAAAGTGCATAAATTTGCTTTTATCTACATTAGATTTAATCTGCCATTTGCATTTCCCCGTCACCCGATTTATCTAAATCCCTCTGCAGCCAAGTAATATCCTGCTTACATTGTATTACTTTACAGAGTTTTGTGTCATCTGCAAACACTGAATCATGACTTTCAATGCCTATTTCAAGACAATTTATAAATATGTTAAATAGAAACGGACCCAGAACAGAACCACTTACCAATTTTGTCCAGCTTAAAAATGTACTATTAATGACAACTCACTGTACTCTATCTTTCAGCCAGTGTTCTACCCAAGAACAAGAATTTTCAGCTGCGCCAATTTATTTAATGTCAACACGAACCAAGAGTGTGAAATAATTTAAAGGGACTGCAGGTCCCCTCTCCCTCCCATCCCCGGTTGCTGAAAGGGTGAAAACCCTTTCAGTCACTTACCAGAGGCAGCGACATGTCCCACGTCGCTGCTTCATCCTCCGCCGCCGCTCCTCCCCTTCATTACGTCAGTCAGCGGGGGAAGACTGAACCCGCCCGCCGGCTGGGGAGACCTAATGCATTAGACCTCTCCATAGGAAAGCATTGAAAATGCTTTTCAATCCTTTCCTATGGGGATTTTAGCGACGCTGGAGGTCCTCACACAGTGTGAGGACGTCCAGCGACGCTATAGCACAGAAAACCTGTGCTATGGACCAGGAAGTGCCCTCTAGTGGCTGTCTAGTAGACAGCAGACAGCCACTAGGGGAGGACTTAACCCTGCAAAGTAATTTTTGCAGTTTATGAAAACTGCAATAATTACAGTTGCAGGGTTAAGGGTAGTGGGAGTTGGCACCCAGACCACACCAATGGGCAGAAGTGGTCTGGGTGCCTGGAGTGTCCCTTTAATAATACTTTTTGCAATGAAAAAATAAATAAAAAAAGTTTAAAAATTCTTAATACTTTGCTACTTTTTAGATTTCACCTATGTAAAGAGAGATTCTAATATACTGTATAATATGTATGACTGTACAATTTACCTATAACATTTGGAACTTAAATGAACCCATGGACGGGGCTTGACCAGCTAACTGAACGGACGCAGGTCCCACGAGCTCCTGAGCCCACTAAGCTTATGAGTACACTTACACCCAGCCAAGCAGTGGAATTTACCGCAAATTTTGCCAGCCGCAGAGGGGAGACTGAGAGGATCTGAAAGAGGCTAAACTCGGAACCTTTTGGGCCCAGATCACTGAGATGCAACCCCTTGCGGCCTACAAGCGTGCCAGGCGCTGGAGAGACGGCCGCTTCCTGGCACTGGTGAATGAAAGCATGGCGGACTTCCACCCTCCCCCCCTCTATGGACCGGTGGGTGTCATTCCGGTGCCAGGAGGGTCCCCACCACTACACCCGATGTCTACCGGACAGCATGACAGAGCGACTCGCAAGTTGGCGGAAAACGCGATTAACCCTACAGCCGATGCCTACCTTGCGTCATCTCAGGCAAGGCTCGACCTTATCTTCGCCAGATTCTGGGCAACACTGGCAGCTCGGCAAAAGGGCATATCGGAGCCTGACGAGCCCGCAGCTAAACCTGCAACACCACCAACCCACTCCCGCAGACCTACACGGGGTGAAGGGGCGAAAAAACGGAGGCCCCGCAAGAAGCGGCACACAACGATGTCACACGCACCTGCCACTCCGTGGAAGCTGGAAACATGCTGTGAAAAGCGGGTATCAAGGGAGAGAAGGGACGGAGCCCGGAAGAGCAGAACTCCACAACGCTCAGCCCCACAAGATGGCGGACCCCCGAACAGGGACGCCTCATGGCACCCAGCGGCAGAACAGCCTTACAGATCACAGCAGAAAGCTTGTCGGCTCCACCGGGACCAACAACCGCCCCACAGACTGGGCATCGGCTGAGGGAAGGTGAATACCCGATCAGCCGGTTGGCATCCACACGTGTCCCCGCCGGTACAGTAGACATTTTAGACCACACTCAAAGTGGGGGGCCCCTGCAACTAACAGACTCTCACAAGCTGACGTTAAACTCAGTAAAGCGACTCACCTAGCGTTAACATAATCTTTAATATACATTCTAAAAATACATATTCCTGTCTGAATAAGCTAGTGTTAAATACCTGCATAACTTGTGTCATAGAACAAATAACGCTGTTATATGCTTACCGATTATCTAGTCTAGCATGCTCATCAAGATCTACTACAATCGATAACTTGTCTTTTTCATGTTACTAATGCTTGCAACCACAAATCTTATTTTAAAAAACTGTGCAAGACCTACCGTGTACCCCACTGTTACAACTGTTAATCTAACTAAAAATAAGCAAAAGAAGGAGTAGTGGAGGTAGACAAACCCCCCCACTATTCCCTCAAAAGAGAAGGTTACAGGAGGTAATAGGGGTTAATCTAACTAAGCAAGTGGAATGCTGTTGGGGCACCACATGCTCGTATGTCAAACCCTTATGCACTGCAAAAATATAAAAATTATAATAAAAAAAAATGAACCCATGGACATTGCACATTGTAAAGAAAGCAATGAGGAGTATATGTCTCTGTTTAACCCTTTGACAGCCAGAGAGATGAGCAATTTTCTTTTCTTGTTAATACGTAAATATCATACAGAAGGGATCAGACCTTTTGCCAGTGACATTAAGGCAGGGTGGTCCATTGGGAGGTAAGCCTTGTTGAGCAAGGCATTCAGTAAATTGCAACTAACAGGGCTATTCCCTAAAATGAGAATTCAATGTTAATTCTAAGGGAATTTCAAACATAAAGCCAGACTAGCAGAACTGAAAGCATAGCGGACGTATTATTCCAGTTCAGACATTTTGACTTTAAATTTTAAATCCTCCTTGCATTCTCACTATGATGAATAACCCTGTATATCTTTTCTATGGGAGATACTATAGCTCTGCACAGTGCATACAACGTCCCAGTCGTTGCGGTTATACAGTTATTTCTAAGCAGTTCAGCCTCTCTTCCATTAAAGTGCCAGAGTATCGTTTTATCAGACATCTGGGTACTTGAGTCCACTGGAGTGGCTGCTGCGATAATCCGTTAGTTTCAGTATGCCATTCTCCTAAGGTACCTGGGTATGACGTTGCTGCATTGTTCTGAGCAGTAGCGATGAAGGGTCCTTTAAATGCCCCATCAGACTCACTTTATGCTATAATTATCTCACCCAGTCCCTTTATATATTATATCATAGGTTTTCCAGTTGTATCTGACTTTTTGACTCGCTGGTGAGACATTTACTGATTCCTTTTTCAGATCTGGCTTCTGGAATTTGGAAAGACAAAATGTTGTATTCACTACAAAATATTAAGTTGGTTTCAGAATTCTTTACTGAAACTTCATTGGATATTGGCTTGATGTTTTGATTACATACATTGCCCCTTCAATTTCAGTAAGACAAACAGCATGGCTCAAGCTATGGCTTATGAAATGATCTGTCAGAGAACAGTCTCAACATTTCTAGAGGTGCCTTCTATTTCGGGATCATTTGGAGGAGGAAAGATTTTCTTCCTCAAAAGTGAAAATGCAGGTATCCCTGGGCCAGTGCAACAACCGAAGAGTATTTAGAATAAAGGTTATTTTAAGAATGTTGCGGTCTCTCAATCCCAGTTGTGGAAAAGTGGTCATAAAATTCTGATGGCAATCCTAAAGTCACTTACTCCTCCTCTCCTCAACCGCTGTCTGTCAGTGACTCTGTCCTTGGTCCCATACTGTTCTGGAACTATTCTGCCTCCCTTGGTAAACTCATCAGCTCTTTTGACTTACAATATCACTTCTATGCTGATGACAAGCAAATGTATCTGTCCTCTCCTGATCTCTTGCTGTTCCTCTTGACACATGTCTCTGCCTCTCTGTTATTTCTAACTGGATGTCTGCTCACTACCATAAAATGATCTTGTCCACATGATTTTCATTACCTGTGAAAATAAAAATTGTCAAATTGAAGAAAATTATCTTGTCCAAAACAGAACTTCTCATCTTTTCTCCCTCAAGTGTTGCTACTCCCATGTCTGTTTCCCTTCAAGTAAATGACACTGCCATCAGCTGTACCTCGCAGGCTTGCTGCTTTGGTATTCTCTTTGACTACAAACTCTTATTCACCCCTCATGTCCAGTCACTCACCAAATCTCACTCACCTGCCAGTTTCATCTCAAACACATAGTTTACGTCTGCTACTAACACCAGATACGGCTAAGGTGCTGGTCCATGCCACTATCATATCTCACCTTGACTACTGCAATGAATGTGGCAACGAGGCTCATCTTCCTGTCTGCTCGCACCTCCCATGCCTCCAGCCTCTGTCAATCCTTACACTGGCTTCCCGTAAGATTTAGGGCTCAATTTAAAATTCTGGTTCTTGCTTACAAATCTCTACATAATGCTGATCCTACCTACCTATCCTCATTAATACACAAGTGTGTCCTGTCCAGGCCCCTATGCTCTGCCAAAGATCTGTGTTTACCATCTGCTACCACCTTCAAGACTTCTCTAGACTGCACCACTCCTATGGAACTCACTTCCCTGCTCCATTAAACTCTTACCCAATCTCCATTCCTTCAAAAGATCATTAAAATCATTAAAAACCTAGTTCTTTAGTAAAGTATATCAATTAAACTGTTAATAGCCTTTCCTCCCCGCACCTTGGTAACACACCCAGCTTCCTCTTTTCAACTGTGTCATCCAAAAAACTAAGCCTTCATTGTAAACCATTCTAGAAACCTACTTTTTTACATACATGAAATACATCCTACTCTTACTTCTTGTGTTACTTTACCCCACTCCTTCTAGAATGCAGGCTTTTTGTGCAGTGCCCTCAACATCCTCATCCAACTTTTCTTGTTGCAAATAACAGACCACCCATTGTGTTTAATTTGTTGGCGCTTTATAAATATTATTAAATGGACCATATGATGTGCAGTTGTCTTAGGGATTGTTTGAAGATCAGACACCATGTGTGCACGCTTTCCTCAATGGTAACAAAACTTTGGCTCTTCAACCCATTGTCATCATGTTTGTACCTGTGAGACTTTCTGTGCACACCTTCATTCAAACGACTTTGTCCTTCTTGGCTCTTTTCAGCTTATCATTACTCAAAATTGGTGGATTTGCTTGTCTTTCTATGTTTAGTGTATCGAGGCTTCAAGCTAAATCTTCCAATCTATCTGTCCTGCCAGACAGTTTTCAACAGAGTTAGGCTGCCACATTGGTCACTCTGAACATGTTGTCTCTGCCACTATTCAACTGTATCCATTACATAAGGTTCTCAGGGCTAATTCTTCTAGGGCACCTCCTACTGGCCAGATGAAGAAACGTCTCCTGTTGAAAGTATTTCCTGAGCATCTATGTTGTCCTTATTCAAAACATTCACCCACCACAACATTTGGATACTAAGGCTTTATCTACACCTCAACCAAACTAGTTAGATTTCCATTGTTGTTGTTTAGCAAACCCCCTGTGTGCTGTTTCTGTCCTCTCTATTCTATTATTACCCAGATGTTATGTTACCATTCAAAACTGAAGCTAGATAAAATTTATCCATGTTTACCAAAAAGTTATTTAAATGACTATTGCCATGACATCATTACACTTCCCCTCCTAGCTTTTGGAAAAGACTGGGATACAATGGTTGGTAAATGCTTCTTCAAACCAGTGTGATCTTTTCTATCCTATTTCTTGAGAGGTAAGACTGACTAATTAAGCTGAATGTGTATGGTACGTGCAATGTGGCCTAATTAGAAAGGCATGTCATATAATTTTTAAAAAGTGTTAATTTTTCAAAAGAGGAAACTGGTCAAATATCAACTTAAAAGAGGAATTTGCTATATTTTTAGATACATTGGAGTTCTTCATTTGTATATGATGTCGTTTGAACAGATATATATATAAAATATAAGAAGTGTATTATGTATATTAAAGTGAATTTCCTTTTTACTTTATTTCAGTAACCACTAAGGCACCTGGCAGTGTTTCAATCCTTCCAGATCTTTATTACTCTGAAGAGAGGGTGAGGACAGACTCCGTTCTGTGGCCGTGGGCTGAGCCTCTCTGCATACTATTATAGACTCTTCTGACAGATCACATTTCCTTCACCCCAGTAAACTCTATTGATGCATTACTGGAGAGTAAAGTGCATCAAAGCTAAGAATTAAAGACTTTAACACGTACTGGCACCAATGACATTGTAAGCATAGTTAGGGGCATCTGTTTCCAAATAGTTGTAGCTAGTTATAGAGGTGTGCTCAAAACTCAGCAGTGACACTCTTAAAGATAAGTTCTGACAGTCCTGTTTTCAGTTACTCCAGTAAACACTCTTTCAGATTCTGTCACCAATACGGTTAAAAATAACAGCAAGGCTAATTTGCATAATTAATAATACATGAGTGACATCACACGACGTATCATCAACAGATGTTACATAACATCACAAGGAGTGACATATGAAAAAATAAATATTTGGAAGGGGGAAAAAATAAATAAAATCACCTAAATATCTAAGAAAATGACTTGCAGCATGTGCACTATGCTGGACTGTGTGTGTAGCATTTTGTATGTGTAGCAGTATGTGTATACTATTTCTGAGTGTGTGTGTGTGTGTGTGTATCAGTGTGTACAGGTGATACTCAAAAAATTAGAATATCGTGCAAAACTTCATTTATTTCAGTAATGCAACTTAAAAGGGGAAACTAATATATGAGATAGACGCATTACATGCAAAGCAAGATAGTTCAAGCCGTGATTTGTCATAAGTGCGATGATTATGGCTTACAGTTCATGAAAACCCCAAATCCACAATCTCAGTAAATTAGAATATTACATGCAATCAATAAAACAAGGAGTGTACATAGAACAATATCGGACCTCTGAAAAGTATAAGCATGCATATGGACTCAGTACTTGGTTTGGGCCCCTTTTGTAGCAATTACTGCCTCAATGCGGCGTGGCATGGAAGCTTTTAGCCTGTGGCACTGCTGAGGTGTTATGGAAGACCAGAACTGTCTGAATTGGCAAGCTGAGTTGGCGTGGCATGTAGTGCAAGCATGTGATTGCTATATACTTCCAAGGGTCACAAAAAAAATCCTCAGACTCTATCTGCTCCCCCCATTACCACTATGGCTATCATTAGCTAATGTTTTCCCGTCAGCACAGACGTGTGCTGTTGCTTATCACTCTTATATTCTTTAGGACATTAGAGTTAACCTTGTATGTTACTACACTGCTCCAATACATTTATTTATTGAAATACTCATCTAATTACATTGAGACTCATTGATACATGTATCTTATAGCATTTTATTATATTGAGACTTATCGATACATGTATCTTAAGTAACTTCATACTGAGTCTCATCGATACATGTATCTTAGTATCCTTTCGCATTTATTTAACCTTTTTGTTTTGTTTTTTCACTTTGTATTTTGGTTAAGCACTTTTGGGTTATTGCCATTAGCAATTTTTATTATACTATACAGTATCCAATAAATTCTTTTTTGTTTTTTGACCTTTGGTCTTTTTAACTCGTGCTTTAGATTCCTATATATTTTTTTGGTTACTATGTAGCACAGGTACGTGTTGCTTCCTCCCAATACATTCTTGGTACACTATTCTCAAGTTAACCGTTCATTTCTACTAGGGGTTACCCCCTGTTCTTAGTGTACCATATTTGACTGTATCCAGTTAGTTCTCAATAGTCACTAACATATTCTCAAGATGAACCTAGTTAACTCAAGCATCTCCTTCAGATAACGCAAATGATGTGCTTTCTATGAAGCTCGCCTACAGACCCCTATACATGGCATTGCTCGCCTATACAGACCTCTATATGGCATGATGCTCGCCTATACAGATCCCTAAACATACAATGAACGTCAATGTCCACAATAAACAGCTTTGCACGTAATTTATCAAAATACATGAAAACCCTCTATCTGCCACCCACCCTAAAAAAAACAAACATAAAAAAAACACAGTCCAATATTTTTAAAAACCAATTGTTGCTTTCCTCCTTGAAGAATTATTTATTGGGATGGCTGAAAAACAGCACAAGTCAATGGAGCTAGTTCCCGTATGGGGAATTAAATATGCAGCGTTTACCGACGGCAAATAAAATATACTTAGTCAACATATGATCATCGGCATCTTTATATAGTCAAATCATTACATTTATTTAAATAATATAATGACTAACTTGTAGTTTTGCATAAAATATTTTAATCAGAGTCCTAAAATGTTACTTATTTCTCTGTTGCAGAAACTCTATATACATATTTATTTATATAAAAATCCTGAGGAAGACCCGAACGGGTCGAAACATTGATCAGCAACCTGTAAACCTTTTGATGGATTAAAATACTACTATTTCTCTTTAAAAAGACAGAAGAGTGCATCTTTATTCTACATACTGTATATATATATTATATTATATAAAATCTTTATGTTTATGGGTGCTGGCTTTACCTCATTTGGGATTTAGAAATAAATACTTGGAGATAAATAAATACATGGTTTATTGCACACACAAAAAAATAATAATAAAAAAAAATACTTAATAATTAGAAATATTATGACATGTTTATTTTCAGGGCAGAATGAGCTTTGCTGACCATTTTATTTATTTATTTATTTATTTATGTATAAATTGAAATGTTTCTCTGCTGGTTCTACCTTGTTTTGAAGGCGATACCATGGAGAATGCAAAGAACCTGCTCTTTCTGGACAGCGGACGCACAGGCCTCTAGGCGTCTTGCCTTCCGGGGTCGGTGTTGAGATTCATCCGCCTCAGACCCCCTCCGGTACGGTATGCATCTGTCAAGAAAGCTCGGGGATTGTGCAAAGGCAGAGGGCCAGCCTGGAAGGGTGGCTCGCATTCCTATTGGCTCGCGTACTGATGACGTAACCAGAAGCCTCTCAAACTCCACCCCCTCCCTTTGGGGGTTCAAAACAAGACTGGGCATGTACACTGCAATGTACTAGAGATAGCATTACACTGGGAGCCATTTTGTTGGTTGCTGGCAGACTTGTTTATTTTAGTTTTATAAGAGTTTGATTGTCATGATGGTTTATTCAATGTAATAATATGTATGATATAATAAAGCCTTTGCAAATCATGGCTAACTAACAATAAAGATATTTGCAATTTTTTCATATGAGTTTGTAGTTCAGTCATTGTAATTTTTGTAAATAGCACTGGGATTGCTGGGAGACAATAAATAAATAAAAAGCATATGTTTTGCATTACTGTAGTGCCTATAAATAATAGTAGATAAAGCAATTTTCTGTGTGGAATGAGAAAATCACATTTATAGACTTAAAAATGTGGTTTAGCTCCACACCTGGCTCATGCAATTTATTAAATATTGTTTTAAAAAAATGTTTAAATGTGCAGTAAAATCTCAATTCCCCAAGTTTTGGCAGGGGTATCACCCAGGGCAGATATTTATGTTGGTACCCCCTTCCCAAGTTTTTTAAAACTTTTTTTGTGCCGCTTTCACTCTCACTCATCCCTTTGTGTGTGTCTCCTGACCCGTCTTGTGTGTTTATCCTAGGCCCCTTCCCCCTTTCCACATTGTGTGTCTTAATCCCATGCACCTTCTTGTGTGTCTCTTAACCATGTTACTCATTCTGTATCACTTAGCCTCCCTTATGTGCTTTATAACCCTCCTAAATTTTTTGTCCCCCACCTACATACACAGTGACAAAGATGCATAGATTTGTAATCATACATACACAGACACACAATCACAGCATAATTATACAGTTATACACACAGTCACAAATACATAAACCTAAACACACACTCACATACATACACACAGTCACATGCACATAATTAAACCACAGGCACACAGTCACAGGCACACGCATGTAGTCACATACACACACAGTCACACATTCAGACGCACAGAGTCAGATAGACGCAGTCAATCAATAGTCAGGTGTACACAGTCAGACACATACAATATGAAACATACGGGCAGACACACACACACAGACACATGCACACAGATGCAAACGGCGCACAGAATCAATGGCACACAGTCATACATACACAGACTATACATATAGTCACATACTAACACACAGTTCAGTTAATATCCAGTTGTCATTTCATGGAGTTAAATTTTGCATACAGTTATACACACAGTCACAAATACATAAACCTAAACACACACTCACATACATACACACAGTCACATGCACACGCACATAGTCAAACAAACATACACAGTCACATGCACATAATCAAACCACAGGCACACAGTCACAGGCACACGCATGTAGTCACATACACACACAGTCACACATTCAGACGCACAGAGTCAGATAGATGCAGTCAAACAATAGTCAGGTGTACACAGTCAGACACATACAATATGAAACATACGGGCAGACACACACATAGACACATGCAAACAGATGCAAACGGCGCACAGAATCAATGGCACACAGTCATACATACACAGACTATACATATAGTCACATACTAACACACAGTTCAGTTAATATCCAGTTGTCATTTCATGGAGTTAAATTTTGTGAAAAGCCAGGAAGGGCCTCTAGTGGCTGTTTGGTAGACAGATCCACTAGAGGCCGTGTTAACCCTTTAATGTAAACATTGCTGTGTTTCTGAAACTGCAATGTTTAACATTTATGGGTTAAGGGGACAGGGACACTGCACTCAGACCACTTCAATGAGATGAACAGACCTCTTCAATAAAAGGAACAGACCTCTTCAATGAGATGAAGTGGTCTACGTGCCTATAGTGTCCCTTTAAAGGGTTATTTAACACTTTCATTTCAGCGTGGGCAGAGGGACACTATAGTGTTTGAAATACAGCTTTGTATTCCTAACATTATAGTGTTCCTTTAAGGAAAAGAATTTAAGAATCACCTGAGTCAATAATTAATTCCAGGAAAGGAATGCACAATGTTTACCTCATTTTCCCAACCTGTTGCAGGGACCTGTTGGAAACAATAGGAGTCAGCAATCTTTTATTTTAATTATTATTTTAGATCTTCCCTAACATCCACATTATGTTTGATTACTAAAGAAAGAAGCCACACGTGAGGATTGGAACAACATTCCTTGCAAGCGTATTCATGTAACAATCGTTTTATATATCTGTTTGTGTGTGTTTATTATCAAGCACACAGAGAGATGATGTAAGCGTAGGCTGTGTTATTATGGTGCTACTACGGAATTGGAAAATGTACCGACGCAGGCTGTACAACTGACACATGGAAATGGAAGACCGCCAAGTTAAGCGAGAGTTAATTAATCATGTGAAACTTTATTAGGAACAAATGAGGCAATAATTACTATGATCAAAAATTCTAAAACTATCTCACTGATTACATTTCTTAACAGGAAGTTATCTTTTAATAATAAATGCTAACTTAAATGTCTTACTTAAATGTCTAACCATCTTGTACGTTATCTGACCTCCATAAATCATTTCATACTCCTTTTTTTATACTTCTTGCTTTTCCTCGGTTTCTTAGCTTAAATATTGGAACAAGAACCCTAGAAACAATCAGAAGGCGTCCTTGATAATACATTTTGGCATACCCTTTAAAAACGCACCGATTCACAAAAACTACTTTTCATTATTAAATTCCCTTCTTGACCTGTCTTAACCCCATTTAATTGCCTTGTCGCCAGTTCCTCTCACTACAACGCATGTGACATCACTACTTCCTCCTTTGGAATCTGTGCTTATCACAAACATATCTATTGCCATGACATTGGACTGTCTTTCGACAGTTTTAATCTAATATAGCTGGTGAGAAAGCTCAGCGGTTGGTGCTCCAGTTGCAGTATCTGTGGTAACTGATCAAACCAAAGTATTAAGGGGTCAGTTCAGCCCTTCGTCCTTCCAGCATTTAGGCTGATGAGTACCGTTCAGTTGAAAAAAAAAAAAGCAAAAGTAACACTCCATGATGTTATTGGATACCAGTGGAAATAAACTGTACTTTAAAATAAAAATTTCATATTAACATAACTAGCCTTAGTTAACATCAATGTAATGTTTAATGTGCTAAAATATATTGTCTAATTTCAAGTCCAAGTATAGATGAGGAAAGTTAAATAAATACACATCGACCTGGGTATATTTTAGTCAGTCTACCTCACTATTTTATGATAAGTGAACTTCTCCTGGATTAAAAATATCAGTTTAGGCACCATAACCACTACATGCTGATGTAATGGCAATGGTGCCATTAGGCTGTGGGTGACATCTCCTAGCTCTTTGTCATGCCTAGTTTGAGTTTATTGACCAAAACTGGGTTTTCCGGGGTCCCTGGAGTCTTTCTTGAATTCAGTGTCCTGTCCCTCTTTACTGGGTTTGTTAACTGATGAGCCACATCTGGGGACACCAGAGACCAAGTCCCCATTAAAAACAGTGCAAGCTTGTTTGCTCACTCTGTGTAAACTGTACTGGGGCATTCAGCCCATCTGCAGAGCATTTTAGCATAGCTCTGCGCATGTGCAGCACAGTGTGGGGCCAGCCAGTGCAATAGTAATTCTGATATGCCCCCTTTTCTAGGACAACTTTTTAGAATTTCCAATTACACAAGCCTCATGACAAGTTTCTTACTGCAGACTCGCCCACCCAGTTGGGAGGTATGCAATGTTGGGAGGAATGCTTAGTTACACCCACAGTATTTGTATTTCACATAACACCAGTCAGTCACTGAAAGAACCCATCAGCTATCGGTCAAGGCTTCCACACCCTACAAAGCACCTATTTGTTACCCCCATAACTCCCACAACTCACCAAAACCAGAATGTGTGCCATATGTTTATTTATATAGGAGAATAAATGGTGAAACGCGTAGGATAAATTGTATTAAATAACACACCATAAAAAATGAGGCAAACAGACCAGAAGTTTTTTTTATAAGTTTATTAATTTTAAAGTAACTTGTTTTATTTTGCAACTGCACATTTCCTTTTAATTTTTAACAAAACATTAAAACACAAATGTTACACAAGACCCCATTACATACTTAAAAAAAAACTCAAACGCTTCTCAGATCTGAAATTCTTTTATTTAAAAAAAAAAAGGTTTATGTGACTGATGATTTTTCGCACACACCTAGTGCAACTAAATCAGTCAGTTTGATACCCCTAGCATGATCATGAGGTAATAGTGTTGGTGCTAATTCACTAAGCTCTGCAGAATAAGTTGGCGCTATACTAATGCCAAATATAATAATAATAATAATAATTTAAAAAACCCACTGAATTGTAGTGAATTTGGGCAAAAATAACCAAGTGGTGGCTATACTAGAATTGTGGTGACAATTGTAGAATTGTTCCAAATAATCAATTTTTGCCGACATTGTGCAGTCTGTTTTTTTTCATTCACTGCAATTCAATCAATATAATTTTGTCCAGGTTATTTAGTAGACTGTGAATTATTGGGAATTCAAAGTGAAGTTCAGATTTTACACTATGATAGGCAAACTGAAACCGTGCATGACTTGTGAATAGAGTTGAGTGAACCCGAACTGTAAAGTTCGGGTTTGAGCCGAACATTACGATTTTTGGACCCCGGACCCGAACACGGACATTTCAGTGTATGTTCGGGTTCGAGTTCGGTGTTTGGCGATTTAATGACGCGTTTTGAAAGGCTGCAGAGCAGCCAATCAACAAGCGTTTGACTCATGTGCCCTAAGAAGCCATCACAGCCATGCCTACTAATGGCATGGCTGTGATTGGCCAGTGCAGCATGTGACCCAGCCTATATATAAGCTGGTTACTTAGAATTAGTAAATTATGCCCCTACTCGCTATACCGCCTGTGGCTGCTCACTGTTAAAAAAAAACATTCCCCCCTCCTGAGCTGTGGGTGGGGGCTCTATTGTCAAACCCTAGTCACCCCCTTCCCCAAAAAATATAACCCCTACCTACCTCCCTCATCCTAAAAATAATGAGGGGAGAACTTTATCTAAATACCTGTAAAAAAAAAAAATAATTAAACTTACCATTTGATGTCTTCTTTCTTCTAAACTCTTCTTTTTTCAGCCCCAAAAAA